ATTAATTCGCTCATTGTGAACTCTCGATAAGACATCAAGGAAGTTCCAGACCAGATAGAGGACTAAGTATTGTTTGTAAGTTTGTAAAACTTTTGTACATAGATCATTATTTGTAATAACTGTTATTGTAAATTGTTATTGTTTGTACATTAAAATATATTTGTATTAATAGAACTTTTTATCAGTCTTTTTGACAAGTATCATAAATTGGGTACATCTCGAGATTTATTTAATTTTTAAATCTAAATTATCATTTACCTCAGTTTCAGGATATAAGAAATTATAATACGTAACAATAAACATACAGTGATTAAGCTAATAAATCACATCAATTTCGTAACATATGCGCCATCTGTTCATGTAGTGACTGAATCACTTTTTCTTCTGTAGACACGGTATAATGATGTAAAAAAATCGATAACACCCACGCAAACCTTACTACACGATGCATATGCTAGCCGAGAAATGTATAACATATATTACAGGGAAAGTAGCTCTTATTTAAATAGAAAGAACGTGCTAGTCGTTATGAGCTACAACTGATCCACTAGGTGATTTATGAAAGTGACAGCTTCATATATATATATAAAACCCAGACAGTAGTCAAAAGTCGTTTGAAGTTTCATAAAAATGAAGGAAACTCAATTTAATACGTTTTTATTTGCATATTTAAAACTATATTGATATCAACTTTTCGTAGGTCAACTTTAATTGTAGGACATCTTGGAATATCTGGATATCAATACAACTGACTAGAACCGTTATATTTTGCGGGGATTGAATTATTAAAGAAAAGAAAATCCTACTATTTTCTTTCAGCTTATGTGTCTTATCACCTCCCACGCATTCTCAAATGCGGCATCTTCACCTACGAGCTCAAACCCTACAGGTGTTTAAATTATAAATTACGCATTAACTGTAACTCTATTTACTTCGGGTCAATTTCACAAATCAAACATTTTAGGATGAACTTTTAGCGAGATTTTGTTAAAATATAAATTTATTGTTTCTGTGCAAACTTTAATAGTTACTTTCGGTCCTCAATTATTATAATAGGTGTGTGTTTGTTTGAGAGCTAAGCCACATTGGTTCATCTGCTGTGTCCACCGCAGAGAATCGAATTCAAGATTTTAGCGTTGTAAGTCCGTACTTACCAGTGTCCACTGGGAAACTATTATAATATATGGAAGTTCGTTTTTTTTGTTTTTTTTTTAGCATTATGATACGCTGCACAGTGATTACTGATTGTAGTTATAAAACGATAAAAAACACAAGCACAGTGGCCGTCCGTTGTTTCATTAACGTTACTATGTCAGCTAGATGTCCCTAACTTAAAAGTGATATATTAACGGAGAGGAAGCTTTTCAATACTACCCACCCACTGCCAACTCTTGGGCTTCTATTTACCATTGAAAGTGGGAATGACCATTATTTTATATCACCCCATGATTAGAAGAGAGAGCATATTCGGTGACAGAATTCGAACCCATGAACGGCAGACCGGGTTTGGTTTGAATTTCGCACAAAGCTACACGAGGGCTATTTGCACTAGCCGTCCCTAATTTAACAGTGAATGACTAGGGGGAAATCAGCTACTCATCACCACCTTGGGATTACTCTTTTACCAACGAATAGTGTGATTGACAGTCACATTATAACACATTCAAGGCTCAAAGGGCAAGCATGTTTGATGGGACGGGTATTTGAACTCGCAACCCTAACCACTTGACCATGGACAGATTGGGATTAGGACACCCTAACGACTTGGCTATGCCAGACCCAATGGACGTAAATTATATTCATAATAATACTGTAATATTACGGTTACCATCTATCTTACTGTAAACTTCACTGACCGGCTTTTCAAACTATAGTATTAAATAAATGACATTAAGTAAAATACAACTGTATAATTAGTAATGATAAAGTATTGACATACTTTCTGTTTAGAGTTTTGTTTCTTAACTTATTATTTATATTCTATCGTTTCCAGCAATACCACCTTGATACTTAATATACTGAATCATTCTACTGTCTTCTATAAACTCTAAATTCAAACAAATTTAAGGTTTCGTTTTACTTCTGGGATAATCAAGGAGCAAGAACATATGAACTATGTAATTTGATTGTACACAAAACACATAGGTATCAAATATTATGCTTTATTACCATAAACATTATTTGTGAGGTTTTAAGTGAATTTCATTAACAGTTGCCCTCAACCAGGTGGTCTGAGATCATATAACTTTGAAAATCAGATTTCGATGCCCGCGGTGAACAGAGCGCTGATGGGACGTTGCGTAGTTTTGCACTTAACAGTAAAAACATTATTCGATGACGAGGAACCCACTTTGAGACTAATAATGGCTGGAGACGGCTTAAATGGGTAATGAAGAAAAACTTTAAT